GGGGTGGTCAAATGCCAACCGGTGTCAATCTCTCACATTGACCCAAGCCAACATTCTTCCACCCTACCATACCTGCACAGAGGGTGCCAATCCTCCGTACAAGCAATAGCTAATCTACGGTCTACCGGCCGCGGGATTCGAAACCCGGGCAGATAGCACACATCGATTTAAATACTGACGCCTTAAACAGTGCGGCTATCGACCGATTTTGGAAATTATCATTTTTTTATAATTTTTTATTAATAACACGCAACATCTAAATAACATAAAGTCAAATTACAACAAAATTGGGTTTACCCTTTAGGGTATTTAAGATATTTACGAAATCTTGGAAACGAACCATCTGCGGACCAATGTTTATATGAACTTTTTGTCTTAAAATAATCGTCTGTTGAATTTATTGTACATACTTAATTAACACCCTGTATTTTTCCAGCTGCGAAAAAATTAACGAAATAGTAATAAATTAAACTTAAAACAAGTATTTTAAAAACAAACTCATTAAAATGCACAAAAAAAAATAAAACCAAGAGTTCACAAAACCCACAATGTTGTGTAAACCCCAAACCCACGAAATGGTTGAATATGGCTGCTCTATAGAAGTGTTACCAGCAAAAGTATGATAAATAGACACGACTATCTATAACCAGTACGTTCATGGTCTTATCCGATTTAAAAGCTTGTCGCGAAGTTTATTCCTAATTGGAATTTTTATTTTAACGGGTAAGTTAGGGAATTTACGCGCACTGGAAAAAGCAGACAAATAAAAATGCATATCACTATAACAAAGTTAAAGTTTCGAAAAACTGTGTTCAGATTTATTTCTTTGTATGTTTCCATAGCTAGAAATATATTCTATTATTACTTACTTCCCGCCACTGGAACAGGGATGGTAAAAAAGGTTGTTAAATTTTGTCGCTTGTTTCTGGAACACCTTGTATACATACGTTATGTAACTCACATTAATTGCTCTCTGCTTTTTCCAATGAGTGATTTTTTATTAGGAAAAACTAGTATTATAAAAAATAAACCTTCGCACAAGGAATTGTTTCATTATTTTTTTTCAACAAGTGGCAGCATGCCAAAATAAGTAGAAAAAAAACTGTGCTAAAATAATAACTGCAAACAAAATAACGTAATAAATAAAAGACGCTTACAAAAAAGTCAGAACAAACACGCAGTCAAGGTGAAAAAATTAACTCTTAACTCAAACCAGTGGCGTAGATGTGGGGTATGTTGATTACATTTTCCTAAAAAATTATGGCACGCCAGTGGAAGAAATATTTTTTTAGTGTTTTTTGAAACGCAAATTTTATTTGTCTGTTGACTTTTTGCACAGACAAAATTAGCGGTGTGTAAAGATGACGTGTTCAGAAAAAGAAAATTTTTTGACGCTCCCTTTATACACGTTGCTCTGTCTATCTGCGAAACCGGTAAAATCTCCATCAGCCCGACTTTTTTTATTAATTTATTTTTTGTATTACTTAAGTTATATGTATAATGCGAAATTTTATTTCGCGTCCGTTTCAAGTGAACGAATTCAAATATAAATTATTAGTCTTGTCAAAAGAGTAAGCACGAAAATTTAATATAAATTCATGAGGCAGTCGCGCGAACTCAGAACGACAGACAGACAGACATCACCTTGAAAAATCAACTACTGTCTTCTTTAATTTATGGCTTAATTAAAATCTTCGCGTTTGAAAGGGAAGTTTGTAATTACTGCGAGTGCTTTCTTATGTTATTAAAATATGAGTATCATTACCAGATTTATTAAATTCCGTTGGCCATACGTTTCCCCCGCCCCCCGCAAACTGTACACGTGAAATATCAAATCAAATCCCGCCCTTAATCGAATACAATTCCGGCAAGTGATAATTGCCAGAATATACGGAAACCGAAAGTAAACAAAGGTGGAGCAAATATCGTTTACAATTTTTGTCAGTGGGTAAACTTTTCACGCACGTTTCGACCCTTACACGTCCACTTGAATCGAATAGCCGTAAAAAAAAACATTTAAAAAAGTAGAGCCTCGATAATCCGAACTAATCGAGACCGAAGGTGGTTCGGATTATCAAACATTGAAATGAAAACAACCTACACCCAATATTCGGATTACCGAAGTTTTACTACAATATAAAATTTTGTGTATTTGCGTCCAGTTTCTTAATTAATTAAATTTTCCAACCTGAAGAAAAACCGCTCAAGTATCAAAACAAATAAAACTGGAATTAGAAAAAAAAACTAATTAAAGTGTTGCGCAAACTACGGCGTCATCTGGCGATTGAATTAGTAATGAGATTCAAGCGTAAATAGTGCGAATATACATAGCTGGCGCGAGATGGGATCCCAGCGGTGTGTAGTATTTCACCCAGTGACGAAAAAAAAAAACTCGAAGGCATTTTATTGTTTCACAAACTGCTGCGCACAGGCAATCTGACGTTGTATCATCTGCGTCCACAAACGCTAGAAAAATCAAATAAAGAAGGTTTTTCTCAAAAAATCCCACAGTGTGTATTTGTTTAAATATAGTAAAGTTATATTTACAGTTGTAAAGAGTGCACCGCCCTGTATAATGGAGCTAAAGGCGGGGCTTCTGTTCGATAGCAAATATTAGTTTTACATTGTACACAAGATCGCGCCTACAAAGTTTGTAAATTATTTTTCCAAGCATAATGAAAAATCTGCTCATAAAAATAAGAAATCGACCCTGCATGTGATGTAGAGTAAGCATCTGTGTAATATATTCGACGTTATAGAATGAGGATATTGCCTTAGGGCCCCCGCTTTCGAATTTTAGGACTACACTAAAGTACCTCATCATCAAATTATCCCGCATACGAGTAATAAAAGTTGTTTAATTCAAACACGTATCGATGTAACAAAAGCGCAATTTGTGTTAGTATGAAAATATGCAGATGTATGCAAATAGATTTAACCAAGCGAACAGGGTGGATGACGGCAGAGGGCTACTTTACCTAGTTCTTCATATTGTTATTTAATATTTAATACATATGTTTAACACCACTGTACCACATTGGACTGTACCTTCGAACGTAGTAAAATTAATCGGATTAACACTATCGCTTTTAGATGCGTATGGAATTTAATTTGGCGTTTAGCCGGTGATTGTTCATGAAACTATGGTTTTGAAACGTTCTTGAAAACGTTAGTACTTTGTGTGGTATATAATTGGATGCATATTAAGCTTATGATTTAACATGCCTAGTAAATGTACGGACGGTGATTAATAGCATGCGAAAACTGCACATCGCTGTGTACGGGCCTGTTTGTTCCCAATATAGAAATCCACCACAGAACAAATACTGAAAATCCTATTAGCCTCGAATCAATACTGAACCTTGCATGAACCGATAGCGGTTTACTTGCTCTCTTAGGAAAGGCGTCGATTTCACTGGTATTGCTCAATAGAAATAGTTTCACTCGTGGAATGCAAAATGTCTTTTTCCGCGACAAATTCCCTGTTTCTGCAACTAAGCTATAGATGGTTGTAGTCTAATAACTATATCGTACGTAAAACAATTTCCACGCGATTCTAGACAGTTCTATTGTAAAAAACTGCTAAATAAACATTAATTTCTTCAAAAAATTGTTAAATTTTACACACCCTGTGCAAAATATAAGTCATTCTAATTGAAAATAATGTTTTCACCATGTAATGGTCGTTTTATAATTTTTACTTAATTTTCGAATTTCATTGAGGAAAGAAAACAATCAACAAAAAAGGTGTCTAAATAGTTACTCAAATTTCTTATATTTTGAAAAAATATTACAAAAAAAACGTAAATTTATACGAAAAAGGATTTAATTTTATGGCTACCTTGGGAAAACGCAGTGTAATGATATTTATGATTTTTACTCAACTTTCGAATTTGTTTGTTCCAGGAAAAAATGTGTTCAAATAGTAACCAAAAGAGTATTATAGATGTTATTAAAACAAAACGTAATAAAAAGATTTTTTCGCCGT